GTACTGAGGTATGCTGGTTATTCATGGGAAGGGTGCTGTCATTTGAATTTTTTAAAGAGGAGGGATATTAAAAATAAAATTCTCATAGCACTATTGTTGTTGTTATGTGAATGTTGTTGTTGTTGTTTGCTGTCGAGTTATGTGATGTGAATGGCACTAGTGTTTTTATTATATACTATTTCCATTATTTTAAGTGACTAGCTCAAGTTGTGCATCAAGTAATGCTTTCCATAGCTTGCATATGTTGTTCCAGTTGTGTGCTGTGAAGTCTGTTCCAAATCATAGGGACCTGCAGCACAGAGTAGTATTGCCCCAGAGGCTTCCCTAGGCCATGTTCTTTATGGGAACAAATCGCCAGGTTTTTTCTCCTGTGGAGCTACCAGTGAATTTGAACTACTGACCTTTTGCCTAGGAGCTGAGCACTTAACAGTTATGGCACCAACTTATCTTGGATGTACTTCAGGGTTTTTATTTCATGATTTTTAATGTAGTGCAAGTTACTCATGCCTCAAATGTTTAACTTTTGTCCCAGATTTATTGGAGAAAAAAAAATTGTATTCAGAATCTGAATGCAGAGGCATGCTGAGTATGATTGTGTAGTTTGTCCATAGCTGATTACTGGGTGCTGAAATCCAGCCTACTTGCTGCTTGCTAAGCCTAGGGTACTAATACAATCTGTGCCTCACCCCAGGAAGGGGTAACTTTTTCTCTGCCTAAGGGTGCCATCAGGATAACATGTTCTGAGAGCCAGTGCCTTTTCCTAATTTGCCCAGACACTGTATAGGTTAGGGAAATCTTGGCAATGGAAACTGAAAAACTTTTTCCAAAGATGAATGTCACTGAAATGTAGATCACTCTTATCTTTACTTCTTTTTCCCAGATTGACTTGTTCTACCTTCAGTTTTTGAGTGTGATATGTTCATCAACCAGTTTAGCATTTGATTGATACTGAAAAGTAGGTTTCAATGAAAAATTTCTCTGTGATTTCTGGCTTTGCATTTGGTCTGACTATCCAGAACAGTCCAATTGAGCAAATGTTCTGTTAACTTGTAATAGTGAGTTAGAATTTTCTAATTTCATAGAAATAGAGCAAGAAAAGGAATTTACTAATATATAAAATGATATACTGCTCCAGGTATTCATCATCTAGTCATCCATTACAGAAGAAGGGTCAGTTCACGCATTGTGACTGGAGGGAGGGAAGGAAAATGCCTGCAGATGCAAGAACTTATGGACACTCAGTAAGAAGACACTGAGATGTTCTTATCAAGATGCCTCTACTTTAGTCTTTGAAGTAGGGATGAGCTATTTTCTGGGCCAGACTAGCATATGGACTGGAAAGGAAGGAGGACTGAGAGATACTATCTTTAATAGAGCAACAGGTACACTTTAAGTTTCCTGGAAACCTTTGCAGTCATCTCCATGGATGACTTGGACGGTGTCATCAGCTGAGATCAGATGGATGCCATCCCTTCCACTATCAGCAAACTCCCCTGTAGCCTGAACTTCTTCATGGAGCTTTCTCTCAGCCTCTCTTTTAAACTGAAACTAGTATCTCCTCCAAAACATCACTTCCCTGTCATCCTCTTTGATAGGGGCCGTTGATGAGCAAGCTAAAATGCCTCATTCTTTCTTTCCTTTTTTTTCCTTCTTTTCTTCCTCTCTATCTTTCCTCTTCTTCCATCCTGTTTCTTTTTTTTTACTTATTTTATTTTATTTTTGGAATTGTTACCTCATAGAAATAAATTTTTTTCTCTTTACAACAGATTTTTATTTTGATAATTTTTTACTTAAATGATTTCAAGGTGCTTTATTATGATCATAAATATACTATGTTTGTGCAATTTTTATTACTTGTATCTTTCCACTTAATGTGATTGATGGCAATGTAAGATTCTGAAATTTAAATCTGATCTGATTTTTACTGAATCCTACTTAAATTAATCATGCTTTTTATTGACTTTTTTTTCCTGAGTTAAGATTTACTCCAGTAATTTGTACACTGAGTTTAGAACAGCCTGTGAAATTATATCAACTTAGTAATACAATGATTTTAGCTCATGTCATGATCTTCATGTTATTATGGCTTTCCTACGGGGAAGTGCTTTACATTTTTTACAACCTTTCAATGTCCTGGGAGGGTAGGAAAGGCTTTCCTCAGTCTAGATCGCTAAACCTGATTACTAACAGTTCATAGATTATTTGAAATATCTAACAGGGTGTCCTGATCTCTGTAATTCTTCATTCCTTTCCTTGAATGTACGCTTAATATGGTTTGACTGGTAAGAAACAAATACTAACACTTGTCCAAAGTGTGTTTGCGTTTGCCTGTGGTGGATGTTTATATATATATTTATTTTTTCATTTCATTTTTCTGGGAATTTATTATTGCAATGTTTTACATAACTATCATTCTGTGGCATAATGAAAACTAGCAGGGTTTCATCACCAGTTGTTTGAGGAGCACTGCTTTAGAATAAAGGACTCAGGGTAGTGACTTGACCTTTATTCAAGATTCCTGCCCTGTTCCATGTAGGTCCATCTTTAAATACATATTTTCAGTTAAGGGTCACTTGAAGCTCTTATCTCACTTGCAGAATGGAAGTGACAGATGATAGATGAATCCAGAGCCAGCTCAGGTTATTAGCCCCAAACATTTCTCTGAGCTATGCTCAAATGATTCATCATTTGCTATTGCTCAAGAAGGTGTGTATATGTCTTTTTCTAAGGCATTTAATTGCATTTTTATAGAAGATGACATTTGAAATTTAGGAGCTCTAGATGACATAGCTGCCAGAAATAAAGAAGAAAGCAGTTCTGTAACACTTCTATCAAAAAGGCTTAAATGGAGGTATTGTGTAAATATACCTAATTTTACAATATAGGATATAAATGTGCCAAGTTAAAAAATTTTGTAATTTTGTAATCTTAAAAAATATTAATGATAAAATCATTTTTGGATTGATATCATATTATTTTGAATTTTAAAATTTTACTTCTGCAAGATTCATTAGCTGGCAACGAAGTAAGAAGGTTATTTCTAA